TTTCTCCACCATAGCATCTGCAACATCATAGTAAAGGAAATTGCTCCAGGTAGCAGACAGTCTAACAAATTTGGCTGCTTCTGTTCAGATACTGTCCCGTGTCTATTGCTTGAGGAATTTTCAATTTACTTCACAGAAAATGATTTAATCTGGACTGGAGTGGCTGTGTCCATGGGCTAAATTCTATGTCAGGAAAGAGAAGAAGCGGCCAGTTTCTTTCCCTGAGTTTCAGCCAATTATGCTCATTGAGGTTCCAGAACTACTTGAAGAACTGTGGGCTATCACTTACATTAGTTGTAAAATCTAACAGAGAGAGAGTCCGTTATTGGGTGGAGGAGTGGGGGAGAAGAGTCAACACCTATTACAGGCTGCCAACAATAGCTCATTAAAAAGATGCTAGGCCCTTACAATCTTGCCTTATCTCAAGCCTTCATTTGTGGAAAAGGTTATTGTGAAGTATCAGGGGCTCATTCACCTGCACATCTACTAATGTGATATATGCCATCATGTGCCAGCAATGCCCCTCTGCCATGTACACTGGCCAAACCAGTCTCTAAGTAAAAGAATAAATGGACACAAATCAGACATCAGGAATGGTAACATACAAAAGCCAGTAAGAGAACACTTCAATCTCCCTAGACATTCTATAACAGATTTAAAAGTAGCCATACTTCAACAAAAAAACTTCAAAAACAGACTTCAAAGAGAAACTGCAGAGCTACAATTCATTTGCAAATTTAACACCATTAATTTGGGCTTGAATACGGACTGGGAGTGGCTGGCTCACTACAAAAGCAATTTCCCATCTCTTGGTATTGACACCTCCTCATCAAACATTGAGAGTGGGAGTGGACCACATCCAGCCTGATTGAATTGGCCCTGTCAAGACTGGTTCTCCACTTGTAAGGTAATGCCCTTCTCTTCATGTGTCAGTATATTTATGCCTGCATCTGTAATTTTCACTCCATGCATCTGAAGAAGTGGGTTTTTTACCCACGAAAGCTTATGCCCAAATAAATCTGTTAGTCTTTAAGGTGCCACCGGACTCCTCGTTGTTATTGTGAAGCAATGTATACAATACTTTAAGTCCTTAAAGTTCCTGGAGGGAATTCTAGTCTCATTTTAGACCTAGTTATGGTACAGAAATAACTGTGTACTTGCTGGACCTTCTCCTCATCATGGCAGTTGACAAAGTATCCAGGCTTGTTCTTTTAAATCCATCAGCAGACTGATACCACTAAACATAATATTTTGTTAATATGTTTATAGACTCTGGCAGAGATACAGAGCTTCTCTTTAACTGCTGTCTTACTAGCATTGTGCCAATTAGTAAAGCTGTTTGTATTTTAAAATATTGCACGTCTCAATAATGTTTTGATTAGTACTTCTTATAGACTGAAACAAGTTAAAAAATAAATAACAAATTATGAAAGGAAGTTGCATCATTTTGTAGCACGTTGCATGTATCTCAGTGAAGAAGCAAGGCATGTCTTGTCAGCTTAGAGGCACCCTGCAAATTAACAATGATGTTGAGGTGTCCTGGTCACTTCGTTGCTAGCAAGTGCCTTTCACATCACAATATGCAACATGTTGAAACCCCTGAGGGCTATAAATATGACTTCATGAAGAGTCTAACAAAAGTTATATGATCGTTGCCACTCTTATAACTTAGTGACAGGAATTATGCCCTATCATTGAACTGAGGAGGAAGAGAATACACATGAACAGAAATAATACTGCTGCTGTTCATCCTTTCCCATAGCTTACTGGGTTTACCGGAAATAAGAGTATAGACAGACATACCTGTATAGGGAAGCTCAGAAAGTTATGAAGCAGCTTCTGGGTCTTCAGGGAGGAGACTTACTTGTATTATCTGACAATCCTGATAGATGAGCCACCATATACTAGCTAGGGGAAAGGCAGAAACCTGAAAAAGGCTGGCCCAGGAGCAACTTGATTGAGGGAGCTACATTCTGACTGCCTAGTTGCAAGCCTATTGAGCTATAAAAATCAGCCAGCTGCAGATTAAAGTAATGAAAGGAAAAATCGTAGAGCGAGGGCAACTCCACCTGCGATAGGAATAGGGATTTTATACTGTACAAAGGAATTCCTACATTAAAGGCAATTGTATAGAAAACCTTAGCTAGTAGTAACTCCAAGTTAAGTATTCTGGAATATTGCTAATATCTTTCATTCTCCCATCATGCACTAGTAAACCATTTAAGTTCATGAGCTGGATATCTAAACTGAAAGACAGATCCCTGCACCATCCTTTAATACACTTGGCCATGGGTATAGCTCCCATGCTCAGGGCTGAAAGCTCAAGCAACAGCCCTCACCTCAAGGTCATCTGGTTTTTCTGTAATACTTCGCTCAGCCCCTTGAGCACATCAAGCCTCTATGAATACTTCAGACCCAAGTAGCAAACAACCATCCCATGAGGGAGAAAGAAGAGGGTACGAAAAAGAAAAACCAAGAGCAAAAAATAAATATAGAAAGGTGAAAAAACACAGAACAAACAAAAAGAGGAAAGGAAAGAAGGATAAGAAAACGCAGCAACTATTCAGAGATACAAGACTAATGGAAGTGGGGTGCACTTGCGTGCTTACCTATTACCAATGAAGGTTCAAAGAAAGGATTGGGAATCACTACCATGCAGTCTTCTGGAGTAAATTTTTTTTGATATGCTGATTTTCCTATACACGTGCACTTCCAAAGAATATAATAGTAGTCTCAGTTAATATTTTAATTTAAATTTGCTGTTGTCTCTCATATTCTGGGACCATCACAGCTACAACAACACTGCAAACAATTTGCTGTTTATAACTCAGGAGCCCAGACAATATTTAGCATGCAAAATAAGGTTTCTTGAAACACTGACCAGGAATTACATCAGTTTATATCTAATTACTACTACCGTTCTTACAGTCAGATCCATTAACAGTTCCGTGATTCAAATGGATTGTAAGGGTAAGAAAGCTGCACTTCTTGTAGCACACAGGAGTTTTGCTGAGATTTCACATTAATACCCATTTTCATTGGAAAGGGCAGAGTTTAGCCCAGCATATAAAAATAAGCCACTTAGATTCCAAAACAAGTTTTATAAACTGGACTACGACAGTGAAAAGATATGTATCTTGATTTATGCTATGTAGTACTAGGTGCACAAGTGTCAAATATTGAATGTTAAGATAATACTAAATATTGCTGCTAAAATTGTCAGACTGGCTCCTAATGGTAAGCATCTACAGGATTTTCAAAGCACCTTGAATCCTATAGGAGTCAATGGGAGGAAGGGCACTCAGCAACTCTGGAAGTCAAGCCATTTTCAGTTAGGCACCTAATTTAAAGGTACCTAATTTAAAGGTACCCAAGTCTAAAAGAAATATGGCCAGAATAATCTCAAATTATTGGTGTTCACTGGAATTTTTCATCTTACTTATCTAAACTACAAAGTAAAAGATATTATCAGTACTAAGATAAAATACATTAGTGTTCAAATTTATAAAATTAGAATTATCAATTAGCAACTTTCAGATATCATTGCTTAAGAAATTTCTATAGAAATAGAAGAACTTTAGAGTTAAACATGACGTGTGTTTGAGACAATACTATATGTAAAAAGATCACTTTAATATTTCCCCATTTGTACTCTTTAGTTTTATTATATTGTACCTTGAAACTTTGTACACTTGTTTGGAACTTACAAACATAAGCTTGCTATATAAACAGAAATCAGTATCACAACCACGTGTTACATACAGCACACAACGCAATATCTTTTTTTGTACTACCAGAGAGGATGACAACAAGGGTAGAAATTAACACTGATCTTGTATCAAAAGATTTTTGGCAGGTCCAATGAATATTAAATTATGCAAACACAATGTTCAACTGCCTCTTGATGCTGGGTGTGGTGGAACAATAAACATCACTCTGACAGGAAGGGTGGGTGCTCTGCTGTCAACCGTGTTCCACCACTGGTTGTCCTTGTCCTCTCCTTGGCTCTCAAACCAAGGTCCTGCAGTCTCATAGAGCACAACCTGAGACACACCACTGGGCTAGCTTTTCCTGATATACTTCACTATTATCCACCTAGCAAAAATACATATTCTCATTTCAGCATACATTACTACATGTGTCCAAAAATGTGTAACAGGAAGACAAAAACCAGTTATTTATATCAGTCAGTGAAACTCACCTCAAATGTACTTTTAATTAAAAAAACTTGCTTTCTTTTTGTGAGGTTTTTTTAAAGCTCTTTAGGCCTATCTGCTGGAGCTATAAAAGATAATTAACCCAAGACAAATTGTCACCTCTTAAAGGCCTGGGGTTTAAGGAAAGGGAATATCTGTACTTACATAAATAGTTATTGTCAGAAATCTTGCATCCCTTCCTCCAATGATTTACATAATATAAAGCCTGCCGTTGTCTGTTCATGTTTAAACATTAGCAGCTGAAATCTACATACAGGTACCAGTAGACAAAGGTTGCTGCTAAGTAAAGTATAACAATCTATTACTATATGCACTGACCCCTTTAAGGAGGAAGCCTTCATATTTTGTCTTCTCCCACCCCCAGTCCAATGAGCACCTGGTTTTCCCATCACCTGTGTGTGTGTCTCCCTCTCACCTCCCCAACGGAGCCACAAAATTGCTCTGCACCGGTGCATCCACCATCAGAGATAATAAGCAGTGATCCTGTCATCCACGGCTTTCCGTGATGCTCATGTTTGTTGCCTTGCTAGTAGCCAACCAGGCTATGCCTTTCCTTCCACCTGCTCTGGGCTAGGAGCCCTCCAAGATCAATAATACCCTGTGCATAAGTCCCCCCTCCCCAAATTGTCCACTATGTACAACGGCAGATCAAGTCACCCCCGCCAAATCCAACAAATCCTTTCAGCCTGAGATAGACTACGTGAGCCAGACCCCCCCTTCCTGCATCTCTTCCCGCCCAGGCAAGAAGAAATCCCGGCGGTGGGGCGGGGCAAGCCCTCTTACCTTGATGATACTGCTCCTCCGGGGGATGCCGGATTTGCTTTCCCTCTGTTGCACGGTGGAACATCCTCTCGCTTTGCTGCCGGGGCTGCCGAGCTGGGCTGATCCTGTCTCGTCTCCCACCAGAGCGCAGTCCCCATTGGAGACCCCGTCGCCTGCACTGTCAACACAGGATCTGCCGCCGCCGCCTCCTCCTTCCCCGTCTCCTGCCTTGAAAGCCACCTTCCCCTGGACAGGACCCGGAGACGAGGGAAGGCCCCCGCCCCTGGTGCTACCAGTGGCAGCACCCCGACTGCCAAACTCCGCCATCAGCCTCTGCCACTATAGCTGCAACAATATTGCCGTTCCCCTCCACCCCCTTCCCCTGCTGCTGGCTCTTCTTCCGCTTTTTGTATATTTAAGATTGGGAAGGGGGGGGCTGTGCGAAAGTCTCTCTCCTCCACAGATCTGGCAGCTGAAATTGTAAAGCTCCTGTAGGGGTGAGGGGGAAATGTCCTCGAGCCTGCTTCTGGGAGCTGCTGCAGCCCTCCTTTTCAGCACCTGGGAAAGGAAAAAAATGAAACGTGACAGTCTCTCGCTTCACAGGAGACTAAAGGGGCGGGGAGCAGAGAGATACAACACACCACACGCACTACAGGGAGAGGAAGGCTGAATGAGATCTGCCCGAAAGACAACACACCACAAAACACACACAGCAATGGAGGGTGGAAAGGTGCCACACCACAGGAGGTGCATGTTAACAAACATCGATGCGGAGTACAGCATAAAGGGGAGGGGGAATAAACCCTGCCTCTGTCATTACTCACTACTTAATATTTCTGGAGGCACTACACCATTCAGGCTGCTAAATTATGGGGGGGGGGGAAGTCTGTTGCTGGTCGTACTCCCCCAAGGGGGATACACAAACTTACAGGGGAAAACGAAAAGCCCAAATAATATAGACCGGGCTGTGGTGCGGGCGTAGGAGAAAAGTGTGTCCCTCACACTTCCAAGAAGACCCGACACAAAGACAGAGTCCAGATCAAATCAGGAGCCCGAGGAATCAGACGCTATTAAATAATAACAGACCCGCCTCCTCTGCCCCCCGCCTAGCCCTGCCGCCCCCCGGCCCCGTGAACGTTAACACGCTCCAGCGCAGCCAGCCTGGGACCGTTACCCAGCCCACCTCCCGGGGGAGGGCACCAGAGGCGGGGCCGCCAACTTTCTCCCCTCTTCGCTCCCTGCTGATCCCAGCCACTGAGCACAACGCACACCCGCCGTGTGCCCGGCCCTGCAGCCGCTCCCCTCACACCCCGGCCGGCCGGCCCCACGCAGCCCCCCACCAGCCCTTCTCACGCTTCCCACCTCTGCCCCCAGCAGACACACACCTCCACAGCCCGGGCGCAGGCGGCACCTCCCGCCGCCGCTTCCCCTCCCTTCCCGCTCCCTCCGCGCTATGGTCGCCGCCTCAGCCCGAAGCCGGATACAGAGATTCGCGTGGCTGCTTCCCTCGCTCGCTGCATCGCCGCCTCCCCAGCTCAGCTCAGCGTGCCGCGCCGCGCCGGCCCCGAGCGCCCTCACCCGGGGAAAAGCTCCGGGGCCGGGAGAGCGCGACCGCTCGCACGGCCAAGCAACCCTCGGCTCGGGAACCCCGCCGCCAGCACCCCCATCCGGCGGATCAAAAGCACTCCGCTGCGGGGGAGGATTACGTCCGTCAGTCAAATGTTACCCTCCCTGCTTGGGGCTGGCGCCCTCGCTCTGCTGCTCCGCGGGACCCTCCCGAGCTGTAGCAATATGATATTGGGAGGGAGAAGATGTTTGAGATCAAGAAAGCTCCCCCCCCCCCACACACACACACACACATCCTCCTCGCCACCCACACTCTTACAAATACAAAATGTTCAGTCTCCCA